CTTGCTCACTTGGCTTCAGCTACACTGGCTCCCTGCTGTTTCTTGAAAACACCACAAGCCCACCTGCCTTAGGACCTTTGCTCTAGCTGTTCCCTCCTTCTGGAATGGCTTTCTCCCAGAACTATGCAATGGCTAACTCCCTCACCACAAGTTTTTACTCAAATCTCACCTCAGTGAGGTGTATCCTGACTTACCCTATTTAATACTGCAATATGCCTGACACTCCTAATCTCCCTTACCCTGCTCGAAATTGTTTTTATTCTATAGCACTTATCACCCTAACTCAAAAACCAAACCCACCGTCATCGAGTCAATTCCAACTCATAGGGACCCTACAGGACAGAGCAGAATTGCTCCATAGGGTTTCCAAGGCTGTAAATCTTTACAGAAGCAGATTGCCACATCTTTCACTCACAGGGTGGCTGATGAGTTCAAACCGCTGACCTTACGGTTAGCAGCCGAGCGCTTTAACCACTGTGTCACCAGGGCTCCTTTATCATCCTAAAGAACTATATTATTTAGTTTTTTTATTATGTTTATTTTTGTCTCCCCACACTCACCCCACTAAAGCATAAATTCCATTAAGGCAGCAATCCCTGTCTGTTTTGTTCACTGGTATCTCAATATTGAGAACAGGGCCTGTTAATAACAAAACTCAATAAATACTTGCTGATTGAACAAATAAATATAATTAAAGCTTATATGCAGCAGCAACAGAATCCATACATAATTACTAAGTGACAAAGAAGGTATTTGCTTGCATTTATGAAAGACAACTAAGAATAATGACAGCTTACCTACTATCTTAAGTACCAGCATTCCTTATCTCATTCCAAGCACAAAACAATCCTATGAGATTGGTGTTATTATCAGCCTCTCCTTACCAATGGAGAACTGAAACTTAGAGAACCTCATAACTGGACAGAAGTCAACTAGACTATAAGCTCCATGACGACAGGGAAACTTACTTGTCTTGATCTCCGATATGTCCCTAGTGTCTAAGTCAGTGCCCTGAGCTGAATGTACAGGCTACAGATACTAGCTGAATGAAATAAATCTGTATTTTCTCATTTTTCTACAATGACTATGCATTACTTATAAAACAAAAAAGTATGCATATTATGATTACAACTATGTAAAATCTGTAACAGGACAATATGCAAACTATAAATGTCATATTAAGGTGGTAGGATTAAGGAGGGTGTTACTATTATTAAGCTTTTAAAAATATTAGTCTTCACTTATTAAAAATGTGGCTATGAGTGGGAATCGACTCCAGGGCAATGGAATGGGTATGGAATATTACTCAGCTGGAAAAGAGCAATGAAGTTCTGATGCCTGCCACAACACGGATGAACCCAGAAAACATGCTGAGTGAAGTAAGTCAGTAGCAAAAGGTCAAATACTGTAGGATCTCACTTACATGAAATAAGCAAACATATAGAAACCAAAGCTTATTAGTGGCTAGCAGGGGTGGGAGAAAAGGGGAGAGGAGAAGTTTTTGGTTAGGGGGCATTGAGTTTATGTTAATGGTGGTGGGATGACTTGGAAAAGGATAGCGATAATGGTGGCACAACATGAAAAATGCCATCAGTGCCGCTGAGTTGTAAGTGTGGAAGCTGTAGGGCTGGCGGATGTTTTGGTATGTATGTTTTCACTGCAATAGAAAAAAATACTGTGAAAAAACAAATAAATCTCCTTATTGTGTTTTCTTAAAATGTGAAAACTTTGACTGAGAAAATAGGTTATATGTATGTACAATTCATGACTAGAAATATTGGTTTATATTTAATATACTTGAATTTAAGCAAGTATATTTAATATACTTGAAGAACTCAAGTATATTTCTTTACAAAATCTTCTAAGAGTTTCTTATATTTCAATACTTAACACAAATATACAAACACAGCCTGACTGCAATTGTATGTACATAACTGTATATACACTAGAATCTAACCATGTAGAAAAAAAGAGAAAAAAAGTAGCCAACATAGTGAAAAGTATTCATAGAAAAAAAGATGGGAAGTAAATGTTCACAGTAACTATCTTTGAATAGCATTACTAGTTCTTTTTTTTTTTTTACTACTTTGTAGTTTTCCATATTTCTATTGTTTTCTAAATAAAAAAATTAATTTGACATTTTTCAGAAAATGAATAAGGTCTGCAAAGTGTACTCAAAACATTGTTGCCCTTCAAATGTTAAAGTGGCATGTTACCTAGACAAGGCAGTTCCTAGGCTGCAAGAGAGAAAAAACTAAATAATACAAATTTTAATCCCTCTATTTAAACTAAGTCTGACAAGAAAAGGAAAGTATTCTTTGTTACAAAATAACACTCAAGTTCTTATACGGCTAAACTCAGATAACTGAATAACAGAATAGCTTTCAACCACCAACAGGAAAAAGAACAAGAAACCACAAAGTAATTTTCTAAAACTAACACTTTTAAATTATTACATGATATATTCCCACTCTAAAAATAGATATAATCTGAAATCCTCAATCTAAAAAAAAAAAAATTGCTCATAACGTATATGGCAAGATAAATCAATGTACGGATCTTAATTTACACTCAAAGAAACTCATTTTAGCAGTTTTTAAAAAACAATACACCTATGCAGCTAATAACACTTCTTATATCTGGAAAAATTTATCTCTGGGGGAAGGACACGAGGGGCGAAGAGACAAAACATCACTCTGCAGCAGCACTACTATAACATAGCTCAACACTAACTATCCATGGGATGGACGGCCTAGTGCTTCTCAAACTAAGTGTGGTAAAGGGCAGACTTTTCAAACTTCTAACTCATCAGAGAATCCACCAAAATACCAGAAAAATGAAATAATAAAAAAATAAATAAACATACAAATGTTTTCAATTATTATTAGATTTAACAATTATCTAGAGAAGTATTTGCTTCATTATGATCTATCCATTCAACAAATTTGGTTGATTGACCAACACCAGGTATTGGACTTACACTTAATAATGGAAAACATATCAAGTAAGTAAATAAATAAACATACTTAAGTCAGCTCTCATCAAAGATTTGCCCATTTCTGATCTTCTAAAAGTTTCCCAGCAGTAAAAACAATGCTTCCATAGTAATAAGCATTAAACCAGTTGCCATGGAGTCGATTCTGACTCATGGCAGCCCCATGTGTATCAGAATAGAACTGTGCTCCACAGAGTTTTTAATGGTTGATTTTTCAGAAATAGATCACCAGGCCTTTCTTCTAAGGTGCCTTTGAGTGGACTTGAACCTCCAACCTTTCAGTTAGCAGCTGAGTGTGTAAACTGTTTGCACCACCCAGACATTTCTTTATTTACTTAACTTTAGCAAGAAAGGCATAACTTTGGATTTGAGAGTAACCTGAACAAAGATAATCAAATGCGAATGAACTGGAAATCTGTTAACTAACCTGATTCATTTCTCCAAATGTGAATTTTAGGAGGCCACAAAGTCATTTCACCCAAGTAGGTCACTATTTCCTAAAACTATATTTAGTTTTCCTTTGAATACAAGAAGAAATATTTCACCTGTGCTAGACATATTCAAACATTTGTTTCTGATGAATAGATATTTGCTTCCGCAGGATTTTCATTTCCTCATTAAAAAAAGAGAAAAATTTCCTGTGAAACAAGTTGGAAATCTAGCCACTTAAACAAGTAATAGTGGTTTTCTGTGCCTCAGTTTACTAACTTATCACTTTTTGCTCTATTTCTTAGTAAACCGAAGCATAAAACCTCAAGATTACCTCTATCTAGGCAGCTAGATTCCTCAACCAGAAATTCAATATCTTAACAGTTACAAATAGCTAAAAATATTAATAAAATACATCAAAGATATTTGATCCTAACAGTTGACAATTTAGAGCTGGAGGAAAAAACAAACCTAGAAAACCTAACCAGGTAATAAAGCAGAATGAGTTTTATATCTAGAAACAGAGACCTGGATCCAAGTCTCAGTTCTTCCTCCGCCTAGCTGAGAAGTTACTTAATTCTTCTAGGTCTCTATCAGGCGTTCTTCACAGGGATGTAAAGTAAAAATAAAGTGTATATGAATGTGAATTGAAAATCTAAACCATATACCCCAAAGAAACTATTTAGAAGCTTAAGCATGCTTTGCACTAATCATTAGGAATTATCCTACAAGTGGCACTCAAGTGCCACAGGTTACTTACAACCACAATGGTTTTCCATTTTAATGGAAACTTGCTTTATATTCAGAAGTGCTGTAAAGGGAAATGAGAACAGGGAAGAAGGTAGAAAACAAAGACCACAAATGAAAAAGAATTATCAAAGCAAAAACAGCTGCTTCTCACAAGTCAATCTTGAGGTTCAAAGACCAATGCCAAGTGAAGCAAATGAAAATATTTATGTTAAGCACCCCTATATATATCTGAGCTAAATTAGCAACTACTAATAGTAAGTTTAAAAAAACTGTTATACCAATATAAAAACCAAAAAGAAAAAAACCCCACAGACTACAAAACATTAAAAATATGGATTAAATACATTAGCCAAAATACACAGCAAGAGTGTCCCTTCAAAACATCCCTCCAATATAACAGTTTAAGTTTAAAGGGGCAATAACAGGAATATGCCTATGTCACTATTCTCACTTCAGGCTGAGATACATTTGATGACCTCATTCCTTCTGAGCAAGTAGGGAATATACTAGAAGATCTGCCAGAATGAACAGACAAAAGACAACAGAGAAAGTGGTTCAAATATTTAAGTAACATTTACAGAGTATACCCACATAACTGAGATGACTACTGAAAACTGGCTAAATTAGCGAAAATTTGGACCAAGGGTTAGGTTTTATAACTCTTTCTAATGTTATTAATCACTCAATTCCACAGCTGTCAAACTGTTTCTTAAGCACTTATAAAATGCAATAGTGTCTGATATGTAGAGTTATATACTCAAAACAGGTGAGGACAGAGAAATCATCTCTTTCATTTTTTTTAAGTTTACAAAACTTAAAAACTTACTAGATTCCACTGTCATCTGAAGCAAACTATCAATGACATTGGATAGGAGTCCTTTACTGGATATTCTTAGATGACCTAATATTACTGGAACAGCTTGAAAGTCCAAAAACAAGGTTTTCCCTTCATCTGTCTTCAAGTCCAAGCAAAGAGAATCAAATGCCTGGGCCAGGTAATCAGCTGAAAAACATTAATATGTAAAATCAACTGCCATATCAGTAGTCTAATCAGTAATCAGAAAAGGAAGAAAAAAGGGAATACTATCACTTTAACAAATCCAAAACAGAAATAAAAATTAAATGATAAGAGATCACAGACTAAATTTAGATTGTTTTTTGTTTAATTTGTTAGAACTCAAAAAGGGAGAGAGAAATTACATTACGGTAAGGTAAATTTCATTCAAAATTTTCAGATTTTAACACTTAAAAAAAAAAAACCCGTTTTCTTTTTATATCAAGAAAGAAAACAACAGGCGTTTACTAGTAAATACCACAAGTAATGTTTATTTTCCATTTTTGATTACGACTACTACATATTTCCAAAAATTTAAATGGTATTAGTATTTCTATCTTTACAATAGCTTCTGAAATTATATTTTTGTTGTTACTACTTTCTAAATGTCTACTTATGTCAAAGCATAACTTTATAGAAACTTGGTAAATGGGTTTCAAACAAGGATTTTCTGTGTCTCCTAATAAAGATCCATTAAGCCATTCAAAGACAACTTCAGAAAATTGGATATGTTCAGTTGATACTACTTTCTGTGATACATATGCCATTAAGAACGGCAGCAAGGTTTTGCTATGATGACACCTGCTGAATCAGAATCCCTGCAGCTGTATGTCTACGACGCTCCAGAGATGACTGTGAAGCTTGTAAAGCCAAGACTGAGATCCCCTAATTTAACCAGAATTAATGTGAATAAGAAGGTATTTATATTATTACACGTCAGTACATCAAACAATCCAAGCTGTTACAGTTTTACAATGTATAAGTTTTTAAATGTATAAGAATATTCAAGTGTTCTAAAACTCTCCTTTCAAATTATTATTTAAAGTAATACAAAACTGGTCACGCTAGTCACATAGCAGCTAATTTTTTTAGTGAGAATGCTGTTCAAAAAGAGCGCCCTGAGATACACTGAAAATATTAAGAGTCACCATATTAAAATTTATTATCTTCTGGTCTCATGCTGCATTTCTTCCTTGCTGTTTTAGTTTACATGAACAAGCAGGAAATAATTTAAAACTCTAGTTGTTAAGAATAAGAAGCTGAGAATAACTTGCATGAAATTAAAATACCCATGAATAGTTTTGAGAAATTAAGACCTTTGCCTATGGATCAATTTATAGTACACTCCATTTTTATTTTTGGTAGAGTTTCTTTTAAGAAACACATCATTGGACTTAATTTTTTCAGTTTAATAAAACATCGCAAATATTGTCTATTTAGGTTAAGCAAAGTTGCTAGATTTTGTTCAGACCTGCCTGTTTAGAAACCGATCTCTATTTAGCAACAAGACAGGTAAAAGAGAATACAGATGAATCCTGAACTCAATTCTTTACAGAAACAAAAGTTTTGTCACAGTGCCACCTGCTGTTTCTGTCACAAATTACTTCACTTCTTATTAATACATTATATGAGATTAAATAGGCTGTTTCCAAATTTAAAAAAAAGTCCTTTATTAATTTGGGGAGGTGTAATAACAGTATTGTGGTTTGTTTGGCTTTTTTAAAGAAGGATTATTTTATAGAGATAATCAAAATTATGTCTTCATTTTAATTTTTCTAACAGTGAAGATTCCTAAAAACCAGATCAATTCAACTTCTAAAAGAATATTATGTAAAATTTTAAAATTGTATCAAAACTGATTTCTTTTTACAAATGCTACACTAAGTTTTTAAAAAATGTCCTGATACCTAAATGCAACCTTTTTATTCCCTATCAAAAGTCAATCTGTTCAAAAGGTAACAATGAATGTAAGTGAAGTGCACACAGCGTCACCAAGGTAAATGTCACTAAGTACACACACACACACACACACACACAAAGGACATTTTTGGTAAATGCTACAACAATAGCAACAGCCAAAAAAATATATATGTGGTTACATATGTATTGTATATATGCATATATGTGTATAGGTATATACGTGTGTGCATATATACATGTAGCCATATGTATATGCATATACATGTGTGTGCATGCATGCACGTTCATATATATAATAAAGCAAATGGGGACACAGTTATGGATACTTCTTACACATAATCAAATACCGCACGAGACTGGATTTCTGCATTCGAAGCCTTAGGGACCATAGTCTCGTGGGACAACTCAGTCAACTGGTATAATATAGTTCACAAAGTTTATGTTCTACATCCTAGTTTGGTGAGTAGCATCTGGGGTCTTAAAAGTGAGTGGCCATCTAAGATACAACTACTGGTCTCTTCTGGAGCAAAGGAGAAAGAAGGAAACCAAAGACTCCAAGAAGAAACTAGTCTGTAGGACTAACAGTCTACATGAACCATGGCCGCATCTACCCTGAGACCAGAAGAACTAGACGGTGCCTGGCTATCACTACCAACCATTCTGATCAGGGCCACAATAGATGGATCATGATAGAGGGGGAGAAAAATGTGGAAGAGAACTCAAATTCTTTAAAAGTCCAGACTTACTGGACAAATTGAGACTAGAGGACTCCTCGAGACTATCACCCTGAGATACTCTATAAATCTTGAACGAAAACTATCCCCTGAGGTCATCTTTTAGCTAAACAACAGATAGCCTCATAAAATAGAGAATATTACCAGTAAGTACGACACACCTTTAAAATATCATCTGTATGAGACCAAATGGTCAACAATTACTCTAAAGCAAGGATGAAAGGGTAAGGGGACAGAGAAACCAGATGACTGGAAGTGAAACACCAGAAGGGAATTAATGAGAATGTTAAAACATTGTGAAAAATGTAACCAATGTCTCTGAACAATATGTGTAATAATTAAATGGGAACCTAACTTGCTGTGTAAACTTTCACCAAAAACACAATATTATTTAAAAAAAAAAGTCAATCTGTTCACCAATGCTCACTGCAACATTATTCACAACAGCCAGAAGATGGAGACAACCCAAGTGTCCATCAACAGATGAATGCCGAAATGGAAACTTCATTTAAACTACAACAATAAAAAAATAAAAAATAAAAAAACAGATGAATGGATAAACAAAATGTGGGATATACATACAAAGGAAATTACTCAGTCATAAAGAGAAACGAAGTTCTCATACATGCCATCACATGGATTAACCTTGAAAACATTATGTTGAATGAAATAAGCCAGACACAAAAGGACAAATATTATATAATTCCACTAATCTGAAATACCTAGAATAGGTAAATCCATTGAGGCAATAGAAGATTAACGATTACCAGGAGATGTGGGGAGAGGGGAATGGAAAGTAAAAAAAAGTCTATCTGTTCATCTTAATCAGTATGAAACAGGAAGCTTTCCATTATTTAGTCTATACAGTAGATTCAAAAATAATTAGAAATCCTTTGTAACAATTCTCATCAAAATTTGGGCTCTACTGCCCACCCTTTGAATCTGCACTGACCTTGTGACTTTCTTTAACCAACAGAACGCGGCAGAAATGACACCGTGAGTTAGAAGCCTAGGCTTCACAGGCCTCACATCTTCCACTCTCCAGCTAGGAACTCTTCTGCCGCCATATCAACAGGCCCAGGATAGCCTGCTTGTAAATGAAGACCACATGGAGAGAGACCCCAGTCATCCCAGCCTGTTATTGTTTTTGTTAGGTGCTGTTGAGTCAATTCCGCCTCATAGAGATCCCATGTGACAGAGCAGAACTGTCCCATAAAGTTTTCTAGGTTGTAATTTCTATAGAAGCAGATCGCCAGGTCCTTTGCCCTGTGGAGCCACTAGTTGAATTTCACCTACCTTTCAGTTAGCAGTCAAGCACTTAACTGTTGCACCACCAAGACTCCTTCATCCCAGCTTAGGCCCCAGATATATAAGCAAGCTCAACCAAGAGGAGGGGAACCTAACCCAGACCAAGAAAAAACACCCAACTGAGGCCAGCTAAATTGTCAACCTAAAGAATTGTGTGCTAGTTACATGTAAAATGACTGTTGTTTAAACCTCTAAGTATTTGGTGGTTTATTATGCAGCAATAGATAACGCAGTCTAACAGGCCTCAATTCTGATCTCAAATAAAACCAACTCTTGGAACTTAAACAATAATAAATAAAAATGATGTTTATGATAATGATAGCAGCTAGCTTATTAAGAACTTATCATATGCCAGACTCTTTGCTAAACCTTTAGGTTAATTACCTTATTTAATCTCAAAAGAAAAAAAATTGTACTGAAAACACAGAAAAGAAATAACCTCCTCAAGGTCACATACTAGTGGTGGAGCTGAGATTTGAACCTCAGTTGTCTGACTGAAGTTGAGGTTCTCAACTACTACATTACACTTACTTCTTACCAAATGAAACATTTCAGTTATCTGAAGATAGCAATAATTTCCTACATCTCCAGGCCTGAAGTTTAAGTACACAATTTATAAGTATAAAAATTTGCATAAATTGAGAGCCAACTGCTGGACACCAGAACTACTCTGAATGTACACATTTTCTTAAAAAATATTTGATTAAATATATAGAAGAAAGCTGTCCCTAAATTAAATAGGACAAGACCCTATGACCTCTGTTAACAACTATCAGATGTTTACAGAGATAAAATTAGTACATACATATTTGAGATTTAACTAATTAAAATGTTTTCACAGAGATTCCCATATCTACACAAGCTGAAATCCACTCGATGGCACCCAACAACAACAATATAATTGTAGATGACATACAACATTCCATTTTTTTCATGACAGTATTGTTAATAGTCCAATATGTGGTGGTCAAAAAAAGATCTGTGTTCATTACATTTGCCTGACCCTCAGTTTGCTCTTTTGTAAAAATGGCAAGACCTACCTCATGAGATTACTGTCAAGAATAAATTTGAAATCACAACTGAAATGACTAGAACAATTTCAGCAACAGTTAATCTTCATTTTGTTCACTATTCCAATTGTGAGTCTGTCAGTTATTTATCATCATTATAAACAGCACATTAACACCTTTTGAACTTTTTTCCCCT